TTCATCCCTTGTTTTTATAGGTTATGAATGAATAAATGGATGAACACCTGTATAAAACTTGTTTCTCCAAAGATCCATGGATTTTTTTGTCTGAGTGGAAAGATATTAGCTGAAACACCATAATCAGATTCAGAGATGTTGTCAAGGGAAGGTCAAAAGAAGTAATTTGAATCGCCTACTTGGTGGTGCACACACAGGGCGTTTGCTTGCAGCTATGAATAACCCATTCTAGTTTCCAAAGGACGACAAAATAAAAGCAGTGATGTGGTAGTTTCCGTCAAGTCAACCCCGAAATGTTCCTCATTACATGTAATTGCATTATGGGGTTTGGAAAGGACCCAATCCTGAGGCTGGCAGTGAGGAGGCCTTCGCTAATAAATAAACTGAGGGAACTTACACATAAATCACAGGGAGAGGGACATGGAGCACAACAGGATGAACGATGGCAACCGGTGAGGTGATGCACTGAGGCAAGGATAGAGGACGATCTTGGCTCCAAATAAGTTTAATCAAAGGAATGTGGAATAGATGTCAAGGAGAGTAAACAAGGAGAATGAAGATGAAATAAAAAGCACAAGAATCACACACGCAGCTAAACTGGACACAAAAATGATCTATGGTCAAAGGGAAAAAGCCTAGCACAAAAATAGGAGGCCAAACCAAAATGCACAGAGAGAATAACACAAAAGATAAGTTAGAAACTAAACAAAGGAATGAACCCTAATTCACAGAGAAACTAATTGAATTTGGCAAAACCTAACAAACACATAAACAACAAAGAAATGATCAGAAAACCAGTCATGAAAATTTATGAAATGAGAAGTGTTTTAGGTGTTTTTTCTGTTTGAAGATATTTGCTCAATTGTACTTTTTAAACATTTTAACATATAATGAAGGAAAGAATTATTCAAGTACAAACAGTATTCCGACAAATGAGATTTTGATGTGATAAAGAGTCTACTACTTAAACCCATAACAAATCATGTGGAAAAAAATCAGAATGTATCCCTAACATTCTTCTACAAGCACACAAACAGAAGATGAAACCTAAAATCTAGGTATTGTTAATCTTTTCCTGATAGGCATGGCAAACTCCACATGGCCTTATGCAGACATTTTGCAAAACTTTTGAAGATTATCAGAACTCACTATTAACTCTACACAAAACTGTAATAACAACACGAGACACTTGTTCATGCTGACTTTTCCAATAAAATCTCTCTCACACACATTTCCTGTTTTGCACCCCAAAGCACCAAAGCACAAGAACTGTTATCATGTCAGCATGGAAGATACATGACCAATGAAAGTCTTTGTTCATCTTAAATTTGAAATACAGCCACGCAAAACGACTTCAACAAAACAAGACTATTAAAGTCACATTGATATTGTTGGGGCTGATATCATGCCTTGCTTCTGATAGATTTGTTCATATGGCAGCATCAGCACATTGGAGCTCAGTTAAGTATGAGAAATATATTATTACTCCATCCTGTCAATGTTCTTACACATGGTTGAATGCAATGACTGAAAATCTCCTTACAATATGTGAACAACCTCATTCTGAATATAGCCAGTTATGTCTCAACTGTGCAACAAACTTTTTAGATCAGTCAGTGAGATTAGTGGCAGTATTTGAATGAGCAAAGAGAGAAAACTTTCACAATATGCAACACCAGTCGAAAAATAAACTGCACTTTAAAATAAATGCAATTTTGGAAATGCTGAGAAGAGAAGTCATGTGCTATGCAGTCTTCTTGATCAACCTAAACAGACAATTACTACTGTATGTTTAGGTTGTTAAAGGATCCAAGCGTAGAACTGAATGAACATCTTTAATGAAGAATAACAAGGAGAACTTAAAGAGAGGGAAACACAGGGAAGCAGGTCCAAAACCTTTGGCAAGAAACCAGAAGAATCCAGTAACAAATATAGAAAATTCAGGGGCTGGAATACTGAGGAGTGTTATTACTGACAAGATGCAGGTGGTTAATTACAAACAAGCAAAGCTGGGAGAGAAAGAAGCAAACAAGTTGACTGAGGGAAGATGAACAATGAAGCACAGATGGAGCTGAATATGAACTGAATGGATCTAGAACCAAAACCAAAGTTCATTCATTGAACCCTAAATATTGCACATCTTTTAATTATTATCTTTTTATCATTTTGAAATGGATAATTATTTTTAAATGATTTAATTTAAAACTGCACCACCACTAATATGAAAAGAGCATTCATCAAGAAAAAAAAAAATAAATCTGTGTAAGGTATTTCATTCACTGGTAATGAATGGAAGCAGCTGAAAATAACTCTTCTCTCTGTCCTAAACATATTCTATTCAATCTTCCTTAGGAACCACATTAGGTATGGAGAAAAGCTAAATCAAATCAGAACTGGGTTCTGCAGCAGCAACACTGTGAAGATAATCTAGCAAACATCCAGTATTGTGTTAAATAAACAATGTTCAATAGGAATCAACAAACACACTGACAAGTTGTCAGAGAATGAAGGTTTTTGTAGGAGAAAAACTCATGTTTCCTTTAAGTGACATTATAAGAAAAAAAGGCCAGACGATGAGAGAACAGGGAATGCACCTATTCATTCATTTGACAAAACCAATCAGTTGAAGTCCTCCAAAAGCTGATCAGAAGGCAGATTATTCCAACCAATCAAGGGTTTATCTGCTAATGCGACTGCAACAGTTCATTCTTGAAAAGAAGGTGTATTTTCTGTGTTTCCATGTCTGACCTCGACAGATTACAGTCACAAATTGCTATGCAGAGTGCATTTTTAGATGTAACATATAAATGCTCAGCTGCCATCTGATTAATTGAAAGCAGTCCATGCCTGATAGCGGCTTATGTCAGCCAAGCAATGTAAACACCAGCTCATGAACTCAGAAGTGACCCAATTTTTCATTTTATGGCCCTACCTGTCCAAAGACGGAGGCCACAATGGGGCGCAGCTTCCTCTTGTCTCCTTCTGGCAACCAGAGATCTTCAGGGTCTCCATCAGGGGAGGACAGACTCAAGGTCTTGGCTTTGGGCTTTGGTGGCCTCTTTATGCTTGCTGAACTCCACCGCCTGAAGGATTCAATCTTTTTCTTAATGGAACCCTTGAGAGCAGTACCAATGGTGTCAACCAAGCATAGCAAAAATCATTCAAAAGAAAGACAGGAAGAAAACATCAAATTACACAATCTCACAAAATGGAAAAAAATGTCTTATAAATAATAGAATATACTTTGTTTCTGCATCAGTGGCAGAACTTTGCACATCCCAATCATATAATGGCATCCACATCCACTGACCTTCTTTATTAGCTTCCCCTCCTGCACGTCCATTGACTGTACACTTTTCATCTCAGTCATCTTTGCAGTCCAACTGAACCACAGGGACGTCTTTATTTTGTTCTCCCTGAGCCGCGGTCTCTGGTTCTGTCCTCCTCTTTATCTGTCACTACAGCATCTGACACCAAATCATAATCTGAGGTATATCCCCCCGCTGCCTTTGCTCCTCCTCTCATCCCTCACACTCTCCATGTTTTACCCCTCCTCTTTTATTTACATCCATCACTCACTTTATTCTGTGTTTGACCGGATTTTATTAATTCTGCAGATTGTGCACATTTTCATTCACAACGAAGCATATCAGAAGGAAATGTCCTTTAGTCCTGTCATACAATTGACTTTATATAGAAAATAGATCTAAATATTCAGAGTTATATATTTAGCAGAGGTGTATCAGTGGCACTATTTTCCGCCCATCTATGTGAGTTCTTTAATCCTGTATTTATTTCCACACTCACCCTTCTACTCTCATGCTGATGTTGGCTTATCCTCAATCCTCTGCAATTTATAGTGCTTCACATTGTTCATCATTTTCCCCATATGGGATGTTTCTTCATATGTATGCGCTGAATCGTAGACACACGCAAATACCAATTGAACATCTTCACTGCAAGCAGCTTTAGAGCTGGCATTCTGGGCTCCATATCCACTGCTTTCCTCAGAGAAAAAAAATTACCATTGTAGAAATCTATCGCAGAAAAAGCTTTTTATAATGATATAAAGATCATTATATTATTTCGATTAGGCTGGTTGAGGTCCAGAGTTTTCAAGGTGCAGACAACTAACTCAGTACCTTCTAAAATACAACTAATAAAAAAAATTCAAGATGAATTTCAAAAGCAACAAAACATGCAAGCGCTTTTAAAAGATTTAAAAAACCTTAGAGAGTGATAGTTTCAAGTGTTGCCACAGGGAGTGTCAGAACTAGGGGGAGCTGGCCATTTGGATTTTAACATGTATTTATTTATTTAATTTCTCAAAGTAAAACAAAACATTTGACCTCCCAGGTTTCAAATGAATATTTTTTCTTCACATGAAAGCCATTTGCAGGTGCATCAAAAACTCTCTTATGAGACAAAAGATAAAAAGTTCTCTTTTAGCACACTCTTTCAACATTCATTATGTCAAAATGCATATTGAGAAATTGCTTCTGTTCAGTAGTGGCTTTAAATACCTTAAATATACATTTGACACTGCTGTCAAATGTATCTGTCTGGGATAATCAGAGTGGAAGCTCACCTCCAAGCATCCATGCTATAGCATACACATCCAAAAGCATGTGGTGACTCGGGTAGAAAAAAAAGGCTACTGCACTGATGAAGACTAGCTTTCTTTTAAGGAAAGAGGTAGAACAATGGTACTGATATGTATTTACTTATCATTTGGAAATCCCTAAGTGTGGAGCTGTCCCTGCACTCCATCTTTATCCTTGCACTTTCTGATACAGTGAAAGAAGTGAAAAAGGCTTTGCTCAGTGAATGGTGCTTCATTCAAAGAGAGGAAGGCTTGAAGCAAAACACCCACTTTTAAAAATTGAGCATGTCACAACAGCAAGACTTTTTTCTTGCAGCAGCTTGTTGTGAAACCTGGCAGTTTAGAAAACCACGTATGAAAAACTGCTCTTTCCCCTTTTTAGAGTTCATAAAGGAGGAACTACAAGAAGGAGAGGGAGCTTTTGTACTCCACAGTCATCACAATAAATCTTTCCAATTTACATTGTGGTCACTTTAGAAACTTGGAAAAAAGGACTTGAAATTGAAACTCAGTCGAGGACCAAAATTGTGAGTACAAATCTGATCTCTCTCCAGTTTTATTGTGGTCATTTAAGTTGCTAGTTATTTAAGTAATACACAATTAAAACTAAAATTATTAATATTTCTACCAAAATCAGATTTTAGATTGTTACTGGCAGGGATAAGAAAATGTTGGTTTAACCTTCATGAATGGATTATGCTGTGAAGTTACACATTCGTAATAAGATTCAAGACTTCAGTATTAAGGACATGCCATTTCATCTTAATGACCATTGCACGTCTCCTCTTTACAAAACACGTCATACAAGATATCACATATTTCATATTAATGCATATTAATGCAAATGTATTACTGAATTGAATTAATACATATCTGCATATGTATATCAGTCCCTGCTTTACATTATGTTAGATCCTCTGAAATGTCAGAAACAGAGTTTTGCCACATGACTTGATGACATCAACTTTTTAGTTGAACTTTCTGCAAACATGCTATGATTTTGCAAGAGAGCTGGATTGTTTTGAAAGTTCATAAAATAAATTATCTCAGAATAAATAAAGAAGATATGTTAAGGTTTCAGAGGCTTGGTAAAGAACGTTCGGGGACAAATAGTAACATGACTGCAGACATGTCAGCTATTTGAGACGGGAACCGAACAGGGCACATCACATTTATTACATTGTCTCAACTCTGAGACATAGTGGTGGCAGCATCATGTTATGGCTTTTCTTTAGTAGAGACAGGAAAGCAAGTCAGAGTTAACAGAAAGATGGATGGCGTTAAATGCAGGCAGTTTTGCAAGAAAACCTATTTTGGCTTTTGAGTGATTTAGACTGAATTACAATCACAGCCAACTTTATTGGCCTAAAATATCTGCAACAAACAACAAATTTGACTTTGGTTTTCAATTCCTCACAGTAAGCAGACATATAGTCTACTACATAAAATAAGCATAAATTAACAATGAGTAAGTGCATTTGCAGCCATTATCTAAACAAAGGAAAGCATTGTTGTAACAGTATAACAGTCCTTCTTTGTTTTACAGTAGAGCTGACTCACGCTGTAATAATTTCATTATCTTCGGAGATAAAAACCCAGAGGGCGATGTGAATACCTCAATATTAAGCTCTCACCGTAAATGGAAATGTATCATAACCATCCTGTCAGGATTTTATTTCACAGATGCCTTCCAACAATGCCACTCTATTCTTTTGAATATGTGTGTGCGAGTGTGCGTGTATGGGTGTGTGTGAAAGAGCAAATTCTTAAATACATGATGATTAAGATAAATAGCGACCACGTAATTCAGCTCTAATACTCTTGTCAGCATCTGCCAGTACGGCAGCCGAGCTCTAAACCCCCTTAAAGCAACACTCCTCCTCCCTAACCTCTCTTTCCTTCTTTTCTCATATCTCATCTGTACCAGCTGTTTTTTACAGCACTTTATATAATCTATCGCTCTTTCTCTCTGGTTGAATCAGTTTAAGCGTCTGCATTCAGACGTTCTCACTTTTCTTCTGCTGTTTAATGATTGTTTCCTAATCCGCCTGAAACATGCAGTTAGGTGTCTTATTCCATCTGTGTTACTCCAATCATGACCTCGCTGAGAATTTTCATTTTTTATTTTAACACAAATACATGCTCTGACCATTAATTTGGATGTAAAATTATGGATCAAATCTTGGTTCATACAGCAACATTCTCAGTTAATGGTGGAAATTGCAAAATGCCTGAAAAAAAAGGTTTAAATCAGCAGTAACAGAATCTTACACTAGTAGTTTTAGAAATCCCAACATGCTTTATTTGAGCACTTTTGCAAAGTGATAGAAGAAAAGAAATAATAAATGGCCCATTAGTGCGACACCTGTTGGCAGCCTTGAAGGTTCATGCTGAATCATTTTCTCTCTTCTACTTCAGGGGTACTTTAATACTGAAGGGCCATCTGTTTTAGATAAATATAAAAGACCAAATGATTTTAATGAGATTATGATTTAAAATAGCCTTTTATCGCCAAATCTTCATAACAAGGTTCCGAGGGCTTCGGATGAGAAACAGGCCCACAGCATGACAGATCTTTCCCTATGATCAACAACTGGCATTTGACATTTTTCTTCAATTTTGTTTCACTCTAGATATGGTCTTATGTTCAAGTTTCTGATGGTAGAAACCGTGGGAGGCACGTTGTAAAAAACGTGCCTCTCAAACAACCAATGAGGATGTATATCGCACATAATGGTTGCTTTAAATGGCCTTAAAGCAACCATGATTGCACACAATGGTTGCTTTAAGGCCACTTTGGAGGTTGTTAGTTTAGTATCCTCTGTGATGTTAATGTGGTGACAAAATACACTTGAGTTTTCACCCAGGTTTGTTTGTCATGGTTCCTTTTGTTTTCAACTTTTTCATGATTTCTCCACTGACTAAACATATTTAAATTAAAGGTTGAATTCTAATTGATTATGATATGCTTTTATTTTAAATCTTCTTTCACCAGGAGAACCAATAACTGTGAAGGTTGGCTAACACAACCTGTGGATTGTGAATGTTACCTAAACATTCTAACTAAAGATTGAGACAAATTATCATAGCCTCAAACTAAGGATAAAGAAAACTGTGACAGTTTTCTCTTAGTTAATTTTGACCAGATTTACAAAAATGCCTCTGAACTGTAATTATGAGTCCAACAAATATCAATATGAACTTATAGAAGGAAAGATAAATCCAGAAAGGAGGAACAACAGTTTGTTAGAAGGAAAATGGCTCATGGGAATGTAGAAGCTGACCCAGGCCTAATCCCGGTTTGTGTTTATTCTCCGAATCTTCACTCTGTAATATTCTATCTAAATTAGAACTACCTTTGTGATAATCCCATGCTGTGACCTACATTGTGCAAAAGCCTCTGTGTCCACCAGAGTGTGAAAAAGCCATATAACTGCAGTGGGGGTGATGAGATGGTTAATCAAAATTTATTTCAGATATGATGAAATGCAATCACCCAGAGAGCAGGTCAGATGTTCAGCAGCTCAGATTTGAAGTGATCCTGGAAAACAGGACCTGAAGAGCATAATCCCACTTTCTCATTTCAGTGCTATTCATGTCATCAGTCCTATCCTGCCCTCTGGTGGCTGAAAGTAACAGTGCTATGCAGCGTTGCAATTCTGGTCTGGGCTCTTTCTCGATGGAATTTGCATGTTCTCTTCATGTGTACTTACATTCTCTCCCTTCTCTCTCACGGTCCAAAATATGTGAGTTAATTGACTAAACTATCATAGGTATGGGTGTGTACATGGTTGTTTGTCCTGGGTGTCTCTGTATTGCCTTGTGATGGACTAGCAACCTGTCCAGTGTGTACCCATTTCTCTCTTTCCTAATGGCTGCTAGTAATAGGCACCAGGTCCCCTGTAACCCTATAGGGATAAGTGTGCATAGATAATGGATGTTCATAACATATAACACAGTCGATGAGGCCATCAGAGTAGATGAGTGTCATTAGAGGACTTTAAAACACATATTAAACATTTGTTTGAAACAATAACTAAAAAATATTGACTGTATAGCCTCTTCTCAACTATAACCACAAATTTGACTTCAAGCCATCAAGCAACATATGGTCTGTGTGTAATGCTTGTTGTCATTTATCATATTTAAGGCACTTCTCCACAACCTCGTAGCTTGAATTATGTAATTCTACCCCATCTGTATTCATCACACCAACATTTACATATATTATTTTTGTTACAATCAAATGAAAAGAATCCCTCTTAGTCCACAACAAAATATATTTTTTAAATAGTTAAATATTTTATTTTTGATATTTTTTAGGACATAGGCCATCATGCAAACAAAATAGAAACATGTTAAGCAAGCTTTTTATCCTTTGTAGACAAGGTGTGAAATTGGATTCAGCCTTAATATCACAATGAAAACAGTATGATTATGTATAATAAAAGTATGATCTCAAAGAAGAGAGTGATGTTTTAGCTTAGTCACCGTCCCATTTATTGTCCAGTTTGATCTGTTTGACTGCCTCTAAGGTCTTTAGAGAGAAGAGGCAATGGTAGTTGTGCATCAGGAGACTGGTAGGATGAGGATTTTGGTGACTTTGGTGACCCTGGCGGTGCAAAGCTCACATCTCGACTATTCCTCCGCCTAATGTAAGCTTGCAGGTTCCTGGCCGGAGTCATCAGTAACCCCCCACCCTCTTCCACAAGCCCATCAAACACTGCTCCCAGACTCTGTCGTATTCTCATGCAGAAGTGGGGGCAGCTGAAGACGTACAGGACAGGGTTCAAAACTGGATTCAGAAAAGCAAACGTTGCAGACACTGGAAGGCCCACTTGCACTAATTTGAGGATTTTTTCATGATACTGGGCTGCCATTTCTAGGATGCAGAAGATGTGATAAGGAGCCCAGCACAGCACAAATGCCGCAATCACAGACGTCACCATTTTGGTGAAACTTTGAGAAAACAGGCTCTGATATGATGGACTAGAGATGACAGGAGAGAGGTTGTTTAATTTGGACTTAAATGAGGAACCAGAAGTCAAAGACTTGATGCCATTTGTTTTAACCGTTCCTGAATGCACATCACAGCCAGGCAGAGTCAGCATATCAGCCAGTCTGCCGGTACTCTGCTTTCTCCTTCTGTGTCTGTTTCTCAGGCTTAGGGCAATTTTGATGTAGCTCCCTGCAATGACCACTAGAGGGAAGAAGAAAGCGAACAGTAACTTGGAGATGGCTGTTGCCCCCTGCCTCACATTGCAGTCCATTTTCAATGAATCCTTACTGGATAAATACAAAGCAAAATTATGGTAGCATAACTTTCTCCCATCAGTCTTCACAATCACTGAACGAAATATGGCATAAGGTAGTGTATTTAACGCTGCCCACAGCCAGCCCAGTGCACAGACCTTCCAGGCTCCTGCCACCGACCTGTGATTCTTACTCCATACTGGCTTGGAAACTAGAAGCAGACGGTCCAATGAAATGGCTGCCAGCAGGAAAGCTGAAACAAACATGTTGAAGA